GGAATCTAAAATCATTATTTTTCCTAATAATGCTAAGATAGTACATGTCTTTTCCTATGTACTGAAAACACAGAAGTAGCGATGGTGGCTAGCTCTGCCAGTAGTTTAACTCCAATTGAAGGAGAGGCACCAAAAGGTACACCAGTGGTATTCTTCATTCATATGAAGGGACTCATATGAAGTTTTACCTTTTGACTGGTTTTTTACCTGGTAAATGCTGAAGTGCTTTAGTTATCTCTGTTTCAGTATACCTGGTGTCATTGTTTGGATTTTGAGCTGAAATGTCCACTTTTTTCATGAAACTTTTATTTATTTATTTTTTTTTTACCCAAAAGACTGACAAATGATATGGTTATTGAGACTTGGATATTTTGCAGACTTTTTCTTAAAAGTGAACAAAGTTAGCCTGTCATTTCAAGGAAAACAACTGACAGTATTTGTTGCAAATGATAAAATTCAAGCTTTCAGATGAAAATTAAGATGTTGGAGAACTTGTATCCACCACTGTGAGCTTGACAGCTTTATAGGACTTAAAAGAGTTTTCTGATGAGATGGTAAAGTATGCCATCATTGGAAAGTTCTGTGTATCTAACTGAACCAATATTTTCCCAATGACTAATGGATATTACAAATTCATGCATAGGTAAAATGATCCATTTTAAAGAGCAAAATAAATAGACCAAAAAATTAAGAATAACAGTACAAAATTTCACTGATCTATTCCATGTTCTACATTGCAAATAACCATCAAGAAACTTTTTTTTTTGAGTTTTAGTGTAGTATCAAAGAAGAATATCCAAAATTATCTGGAAAAAAATTAAAATACTTCTTCATTTCAACTATGTATTTGTATGAGACTGGATTTTTCTCCCTATTTCTCTGTTTCTCGCTGAGAAAGAGATCAAAACAACAGATTGAGACCAAAACAACATATTGGATACAGAATCAGATAATGAGAATCCATGTCTTTAATTAAAAAGACAAATAATTTTTCTTATTTTTGAAAACCATAGTTATTTTTCTTAAAATTTATTCATAAAATACATAATGAGTTGGTTATTTTTATTTTTAAATCGAGTATTTTTAAATGATCTGATTTTTAGTTTCTAAAATGGTAAATATTGATGGATATGACTCACATAACCAAATCCACTTTATAGTCCTCAGCAGTCTTGAAGAATGTGTCCTGAAACCAGAATGTTTGAGAACTACCTAGTTTAGACTAATTAAAGATATGCCATTTGGAGCTTGGCTTTGGCCTCCCCATGTACATAATTTTCTGTTGTCTCAATAAAATCAGGACTCTTTGGCAAAGAAAAAGCAGGAGGGGTGGCGAATGGCTTGGTGTAACAACAATCATCTGCCACAGCTGAAGTGAAGGAGAATTTTTCCAGCACCATTTGGCAATCAATAAGCTTGTGGGATCTTTTGGGAAATGTTGGCAAAGAAGTCTCAGATCTTAGGAACAAAGAAGACTTCACATGCCAAGCTCTCCTGTATTACCAGATCCTAGGGGAAGACTTCCTTTAAAAGATGCACTTAGAAAGTGGACGGGGTAGTTAGTTGTCTTTGATGCCTGTTCGGAATTAACCTGTCTTTGGTCAGGCTCTCAAAAGCAATGATGATTTTTCTCGTAGGCTGTAGGAGTTTTGATAAATGATAAAATTCAAGCTTTGAAATGATAAAATTCAAGCTTTCTTTCCCAGGGAGCACAACACACTGAGATTCCATATCCTTGCCTCTGTCCCGTACCAGCTGTAGGTCCCAACTATACCTGAATTCACCTCCAGGCACCACAAGTCAGCCAAGGTTATTTTGTATGATGAATTGGCAATTATTCAAGAAAATTATTATAATGACTATAAAGGGAACAGACAGAAGTAGACTTAAACAATATCTGTATGAGATCAGAGAGAATAATAGTGGCAAAGAAAACAGAGATATGTAAGGACCCTGTCAGATGACTAGGGAAATTACATTGCTCACTCTTATCAGTTATAATTGGGGACACAATAGGAGCTACAGGATTAGGGTCTAAAACAAGGACTTCTCCTTTAAACATGTTGAATTTAATATCCCTAGCGGTCTATGGCATCCACTAGGTAGTTGGAAATATGGTCTGACCTTTAAAAGAGAGATTGGGTTTAGAATGCAGATTTTTGTAATGTTCAATATAAAGGACATGGTTGAAGCTGTAGATTTGTTTCCACCTGAACGATAATCTGAAGTGATAAGGCAGTCTCAGGTATTTAGGAAAAGGAGATTGGAAAAATGAATTAAGCAGAACCAGAACATTTTATTGAAGATGTTAAAAAGAGAGAATCCACAAGGAGAATATTATCCTACAATGCAGGAAGAAAATTGTGAAAGTTAGTAAGATTTGACAAGTAAAAAGTCAATGACGACTTTTAAAAAGTAAACTACTTTGTAAAACTGTTTTAGAACAGTTTTAGATTTATAGAAAAATTGCTAAGATAGCATAGAGAGTTTCTACTTTCCTCACACATGGTTTACTATTATTAACTTTTTACATTAGTTTATTTGCCATGACTATAAACCATGGAGTTTTTTCAGTTTGTTTTTGTTTTGAGACAGGGTCTTGCTGTATTGCTCAGATTGGCCTGGAACTCCTGGGATCAAGTGATCCTCCACCTCAGTCTTCCTAGAAGCTGGGATTGCAGACATATGCCATTATGTCTGGCTCTTCTTTATATGCTTTTATTAACTAAAGTCCATAGTGTTGTTTTTTTTTTTTAAATTTTTTTATGGGGGAGGGTACTGGGGATTCAACTCAGGAGCACACACTTGGCCAGTGAGCCACATCCCCAGCCCTATTTTGTATTTAATTTAGAAACAGAATCTCAGTGAGTTGCTTAGCTCCTCAATCTTGTTGAAGCTGGCTTTGAACTCAAGAGCCTCCTGAGCCACTTGGATTACAGATGTGCGCCACCACATCCAGCCATAGTTTTTAATCTAATTTCTTTTTTGTGTTCCAGAATCCCATCTAAATTACCCTATTTCCTTTAGTCATCATGCCTCAACCTCTTGGTTTTAACAGCTTCTCAAATTCTCATTATTTTTTTATATTGACAGTTTGAGAAGTACTGGTCAGATATTTTGTAGAAAGGCCCTGATATTCTTTTCATAATTAGTCTTGGGTTATGGGTTTTGGTGAGGAAGACCACAGAGGAACAGTGTCATTTTCCTGTGTGTGTGTGTGTGTGTGTGTGTGTGTGTGTGTGTGTGTGTGTGTGTGTGTTGCTGGGGATCAAACCAGGACCTCTTGTGTGTGAAGTGTGTGCTCTACCACTGGGCCTCACCCACAGCCTGAGGTGCCATTTTCATCACATGCTATCAGACCATATTTTTTAAAAGGAAGTCTGCATGCATAGCCCATACTTAAGTGACTGGGAAGCTATGCTCTTGCTCTTCAAGGATGAAAAAAAATCTACATAAATTATTTGAAATGCTTCCACATGGAATATTTTCCATGGTCTGTTCTTCCTCATCTATTAGTTTATTTTAATCATTTGTTTCTATCAGTATGGATGAATCAATATTTATTTTAAACTCAGGTTATAATCCAAAGTGATATTTTATTTTCTTGCTCACATTGTTCCAGGCTTGGGATCTCTGTCTCTCCACTCCTGTGTCTCTTACATACCTTCATTCAATGATGACTTTTTAGTGAGCCATTTCTCCTCAGGGGGTAAACAAAGGCATGACAGTGAATCAAGGAGCAACCAAGTATGAACAGAGGGAGCAGAAAGCTGATTCAGAAGCACCTCACTATAAGGGGAAGCTTAAGGTTTGTTTTCAATACATTTTAATCTCACAAAAACACAAGTAGGTGACAGCCCTGGCTATACTATGAAAAACCCCAAAGCATAGAAAGGAAAGGAAAAGGAAGAAAACCAGTCAAAACAAACAAACAAACAAATCCCAGAGTAGTCAAAGTAAATGAACTCCTAGCATGCCTCTTAAAATTTCTATCTCATGAGACTTAGGAAAGAAAATCAGCACTGTCTGTTCTTACTGCTTTTTATTTGGCGTACACTAATTTAAAAAAAAAAAAAAGGGAGTAACGTGGTAAATGTTAATTACAATGTGAGAATGCCAGAAAACTTTTTGATGTACTCAAAACTTTTCTGTGAATGCCAACAGTGCAGGATTATATGATTTGATTTTAGGTCTCATTTAAATTCCTGCAAAGACTTGATGTTTAGAAATGATATAAAAATGTTGTCCAATAAATAGGTAATTTTTCTCACAGTGAATATCTTCCAGTGGTAAAGTCACTTAAAATATTTAGAAGACAAAATTTCTGTTCATTTTGTTCTCTGATCATTTCCTCGGTTAATAAATGGTGAAGTTATTCTGCTGGGGGCAAAAGAAATGAGAGTGAGTTGGGTGTCGTGTTGGATAGGATGTTGACAGGAAAATATTAATTCATAACTTCTCCTGAAAATACTATTATCAGCCATGTTTCATGCTTTAGGTCCAGGGAAGCCATTCTCAGCAGCCATGGCAGTAGTATTTACTGTACCTACTTTATACCAAGCAGTGGACTGGAGACTGAAGGGATACTACTGGCACAACCCTGCTGTCAAGGACTCAGTGATTATAAGAATTCTTGGTACAGGGAGTGGGGTAAACTAGCAAACACAAGTACACTGCAAATGATGTGCTGCGGGGGAAGTCTAGGTGCCAGTGCAGAGCAAGACTCCTATCCTAGGGCTGGTCTGCAAAGAGAAAGGGCAGGGAAGCTCAGAGTGATAGCTAAATGAAATCTTGAAGGACAGGTAGGAGAGGAAGGAAGGGGAAAGGGTGCAGAAGAAAGGAGGCACCTTCATTAAGTAAAGAAATGCATGACATTTGAGGAAACATAACAAGTCACTCAATATAGTTGGGTTATAGAGTTGCAACAGAAAAACAATGCAAACCATGAATGCAGTTTAAACATCTTTAGTAGTTATATCAAGAAAGTATTAAGAATTCAGTGAAATTTTAATATTTTTATTTAGTCCAATATATTTAAAATCATATAATCTCAGCATATAATCAGTATGAAAAATTATTACTGATGTTTTTATAATTTTGCACTAGATTCTAGGAATCCGTTGTGTGTTTTACATTTAAATCACCATCTCAGTTTAGACTCTCCACTCTTCAAGTGTTAAACAACCACTTGTGACTTGTGGCTGCCATATTTTGGAAAGCAAAATTCTAGAGTAATGAGATGTAAATTCACAGAGATAATATGGGATCAGATTAGATCAAACACTGTTTGTCAGGTAAATTATTTAACCCATGGGCTGTGGGAAGCTTTGGAAGTTTTATACTTGACAATAATTCAACAAATTACTGATGACTCTGACTTTCATTGTGGAGAGTGGATTGGATGTGAGCTTTATCAGGATCCAACTAGTTCTGCCAATAAATGATCATAACTTTAGGGGAGTGACAAGGGTGTGATGAGATTTAAGAGTCACCAGTTTACACATGTGTAGTCCCGGCTGAGACAGGAGGATTCCCTGAGCCCAGGAGTTCCAGGCCAGCCTAGGCAAAACAGCAAGACTCTGTCTCTAAAATTAAAAAAGAGAGAGAGAGAGAAATAATTAATACATCATAAGGAGAAATAACCTTACAGGCATTGATAGTGTCCTGAGAGAGGAGATAAGAGTGACTACCTTTCTTCTGCTCCTCTTCCTTGATGCTTCCAGGAAATATAATAAGACAATTTTGAGAACTGGGGAAAACAAGAGAAGGGTGGGAAGATGGAGAGACAATGTGATTAGTTTGGTGCATCTTAAATTGTGAGTTGCTTAGGAGACATTCAAGTGTAATGTTCATATCACAGATGTTACCTGCATAGAGATAGAAACTGAAAACATGAGATTTGCTATAGTTTCAATGTGGTTTATGCCCAAACCAAAGGTGTTAGTAGTTTGTATGATGATGTTAAGAGGTGGAAGCCAGGCCTGAGGCACATGCCAATAATCCCAGCTACTTGGGAGACTGAGGCAGGATGATCCATCCAAGTTGATGCAACTAAGTCAGACCTCGTATCAAAATAAAGGGCTGAGGATGTAGCTTAGAAGCAAAATTATTTGCCTCACATGCACCAGGCCCTGGATTTGATCCCCAGTACTGCCAAAAATAAAATGTTTATAAAATGCGATAGGACCTTTAAGAGGTTGGTCTACTAGTGGGTCTTTAGGTCTTTAAAGCATTAAGGTAGTTTTCATGAGACTCTGATTAGTTCTTGTGGGAGTGTTGTTATGAAAGAGCAAGACTGGCTCTGGGCCCCTCCTTGTTCTCTCTACCTCTCCAGTAAACCATGTGATCTCTTGTGTGTGCATGTGCTCTTGTCTTGATGCCATTTGTCACAGAGTAAACCAGCAAATGCAGCCCTCACCAGAGAACAAGTCAGTGGGGATGCCTGACCTTGAACTTTCAGCTTCAAACTGTGAGCTAAATAAACCTCCTTTCTTTAAAAGTTATCCAACCTCAAATATTTTGTTAGGCAATAGAAAATGGACTAATATAGGAGTGTATAAAATTTCCCAGGATAAGTGTATTGAGTATGTTAGCAGTTGTTGTCCAACTTTTCTTTATTTTCTTTATTTTTTTAATGGTCCTAGAGATCAAACACAGGGTCTCAAGCATGCTAGGCAAGCATTCAGCTCTTTTAATCTAAATTTTAAAAAGAATTACCTGGAAACTGATTTAAAATGCAGATTTTTGTTCCTTACTCCTCATTATGCTGGTTCAGCAAGTCTTGGAGGACAGTGGGAAATTGTACTTTTAATAAGAGCCCCTAGAGAATTTGGTGCAAGTGGTCTTTGAAGCACTCCTTTATAAACGCTTGTATAGCATGATAAATAAGAGGAACCAGAAGAGGTTGTCCATGTGTATGGAAGATTGTAGAACAAAAGCTCTCTAAGAAATTAGTCAGTGAGCTACTACAGAGGTTTGAAAAACCAGAAGAATGCTATCTGCTATTAAAGTGTGTGTGTGTGTGTGTGTGTGTGTGTGTGTGTGCGCGCGCGCGCGCGCGCGCTTTACAAGATTTTTATGTAAAAGACAGCAAGGATGGAGGTGGGAGAAATAAGTAGGTGTCTTACTTGGTGGGACAATCAGCATGGCAGAAGGAGACATCACCCTTTGACTACTGCCCAAGGTGTCTATCCTGGGCATGTTTTCTCAGCCCACCATCAACCTCATCAAATTCCCTGAGGAGCTGAGGGAAGAAGTAGTTAACTGCCTCAAATGTAGCAGAGAAATCAAATACAATACCAGTTGAAAGCCACAGTTGGCTTTAGTAACTTAGGCTTACGGTAGCAATTTGGGTGACCGAGTAGGGATGGAAGCCCAACTTCAACGGGTGAGTTGCAAAGGGGATCAAGTAAGTGTGTAGACAATTCTTTTGAAGGATCTATGATTATGACAAGGAGGAAAGAGAAGGTTGAACCTTATAGGGATGTTGACTTAGGAAATGCTTAGGGATGAATGCCTTCTGAGTCTGCCCACTCGATTTCATTTCTATTGTGTGGGTTGATTCAATAGTGTGAAACCATACTCTCATAGAATATAGTTATTAAATAATGTTACTCTATCCTTTGGAACCAGTCAAATGACGTTTAGTTATACTATCACCTCTTCTACTAATTACTGGAATGGATAAACTATTGTGCAGAATAACAGTATCTGATTACTGATGATTTGAAAGAAATGCCAAGCTGGGCCAAACTACGGTAGGTTGGAGTTTAATGAAAGCAATAAGAAAGAAGAAAAATTCTGAAACTTTGAATTTCTCAGTCACCTCTTCTCCCTCCATCTCCTGCTTTTAGGGGCCTGCGTGTTTAAATTGAAAATTTAATTTCACTCCAACCTTTATTACCCTTTGCCAGTTTCCAGGGATTAGGACGTGGGCATCTCTGGGAGGGGAAGAAGTCATTAGTCTGTCTACCACACTAATCCTATTCTTCAGTTCCCTTCTTGCCTGTGATCATGCCACCTGCCTGCTTAAAATTCTTCAGAGGCTCTTACTGCCCTCAGGGTAGCATTCAGACTTCTTAAGATGGTACACAAAGGCCCTGCTTACCAGTCTTGTCTCATCTCTCTCAATCTTTGACACCAAAACCACACAAGACTGGTGTTGTTTCAGTTTCCTAAACTAAAAACCAAGCTTTCACCGATGTCATTTATCTGTGTGGGGAAACCCCACCCCACACCCCTTTACCTGTCTCTCTCCTACTCATCCTTAAAACAGAAGCCAGATGTTACTTCCTTTAGGAAGCCTACTGCTATAGACACCCATACCTATCTCTAACATAGCACTTGGCACTCTATAATTACCTCCTTAATAACCTTCCCCCCTGGATTATTTAAGAGCAATAATCTCATTTTGTTCACAAGCATCTTAAATACTTTACATTTTGGCTTGCATATTGCAGAAGCACAAACTTTTGCTTGAAGATATGTCCTCCCTTAATACTTGTCTGTTTTTCCAAGGTAGACTGGCAGAGAATATAGAGTCATATGAATCTGAGGATAGAAATGTTCTTTCATTTTCTAAATGAATTTCACTTTAAATCTGCTAGAATATATTTTCCTGCACCCAATCTATTCTTCATTGATTTGCATATTTGCCCTTTATATTTACATTACTAGAATTGAAGTCATGAACATGCACCTGATTCTGCTTAATTTTTAATATAACTTTACTAATATAAATAAATACTTGAACTGGATCAAAACACTGTAAAAGGGGGAACCTTTCAACTGGATGAATAACCAGATTGGCTAACTAAAATATTAGAATAAATAACACCCTTAGAATCGATTTAAGTTCAACAGGCTGAAAGGGAAAGCAAAAAAAAAAAAAAAAAAAAACAAATGTTCACAGTATAAGTATCTTGATTTTTTTTCTTTCATTTAATATTACATTTAAAATTTCCATTGACCTGTGGGCATTTACTGATTGGGAATACCAGTTTAGTGTTCCTTTAATTTTCTCTATATAAAGCAGGGTTTATTTAAAAAGGGATATGGGATGGTCAAAAGTTGGGAATCAGGTAGTCCAGAGGGGCCAAGGTAGAGTAACCCTTGCTGGAAGGGGGTGTAATTAACAACTCCCTGTAGGGAGGGAAAATTCCTGGGAGGGGTTACCTTAATAATAAGTTGGAGCTGGGGCAGGTTGTCTAAGGGTGGAGGAAGGGTTCTGAAGGAATTAACATTTCAATTCCTCCTTTCTCTGGATGGACCCTTGCCTATCTGCCTAATTCTGGCTTCACAGTTATCCTAAAAAAAAAAAAAAAAAAAAAAAAATAGGGTGCTGCATACAGCCTCAACAGATGGGGCCTAAAAGAACAGCTTCAGGAGCCAGGCTGCCTGGGCTGGGGTCCTGGCTCTACCATATGCTATGTGGTTACCTCAGTATTTTTATAAATAGGCCTTATGATATTCACTGCATAGCATTGTTATAAGAATAAAGTGAATTATTATATTAAAGCATTTAATAGGGCCTGACATTTTAAACGATACAATTTCATGTGTGTAGGGTGGGAAGACTGACTATGAAACAAAACTGCTTAGAGAAGGCAACTGTCATAATTAGGATAAAACTTGGATATAGTGAAATCATTGGAGGCTGCAGGTGAGATCATTTATGAGAAAGAAAGCCAGCCAAGCCTGGTGGGTCTTGGACTGTTAGGCACTGCCAGAAGCCTTGTTCCCCATAAACGTAAGGATGTTCCTAAAACTTCTATAAAAACACATGCTATTAAGAAGTGGTTGATGAGATTCTGTGAAGATTGGAAAAAGTGGCTTATTAAGAATAAAATATAAGAGTTTTACTTAGAAATAGTAGAAGAAAAATTCAGAAATCTCTACAAATCACCCTTATTTTGACAATTTATTTATTGCCTTTCCTAATATTTAGAGTTCCACTGGATTCTTGCTGTGAAATTTTTTTAATAAACAAAGGTAAGCAATATTTGCTAAGAAAAAACAAGTATGTCTTGATTTTAAAAGATATTCTTGATTGTTTTCATAAATGTCAATTGTGAAATGGGTCTCCTTATTAATTATCTTAGAAGCCCCAGGCAAGATTATCATGTAAGGACAGTTTTAAAATGAAGTTTAAAAATAGATTTATTAATTTCAACAAGTTTAACAAACCATTTTAAAAAATTAATTTACATGGTCACTCATTACTAATTCATTTCCATGTTGACAATTTTCCTTAAATTGAAGTGTAACCATCTTAAATACTTTTCAAATTTGTAATATTAATGTAGCTATTTTCATGCCACTATTTTCTAATTGTTATGACTAAGAGTTGAGTTTTGGAAGATCGATTTCTGCTGTACTGCTAGAATTCCAAAGGATCTAAAACTGCTGCCTGATAGCATCTAGGTCCTCGTGGTTAGTACTAGTGGCTGTCTGTCAAGCCTTCGGTTTTTCTTCATCTTCACATTCTGTGAGTGAACAAGGTTGACCAGAAGAAGCAGGATTGAGAGGCTGGCAATTTGTCTACAGTTTTCCTTCTTTCACTTTGCACCACACTGCCCTTAGGAATCTAGATAACCATATTTTCTTCTTTTAGAAAGTCCTCTTCAGAAAAGACTTGGGGCAGGTAGGGGTGGGGTGGGGGTGTTACTCTCTTAAAAATAAAAATAACAAAGTGGCAGTAACTTTTCTCAAAGTTTCTGATTTCAAGACCCACAAACGAAGGGCTAAACATGGAATTTCAGGCCTTGGTGAATAGTTAGGTTTGGGCATATAAGTCTTCCTGACACATGTGGACAAATGTGCCTTCTGCCTCTTGGTCTGGTTTTCTGAGTTGTTTTGTGAATGTATCTTCCTCTTTCTCTGGAGCTAGTTCACACTTTTATTTATGAAAAGACTCACCACAGTGAATTATTTGGAGGTTTTTGAGCTTCTCTGTTATTGTCTCTCTCCCAGTAGAGATGCCTCATGTTACAGACTTTTTGTTTGCATTGCTGGCTCAGGAGACTAAGAGGTCTGGCTACTTTAATGCTATCGTCATCCATGAAGATCATAAAAGTTAATTTTTCTTCTCTGGGTGGGAAGTTGCTTAAAGTTTTGTGTTATCATTTCATTTCTCCAATCTATTTTTGTATTTGCAGATAGCGTCTGCACTAGCCTACCAATTCAGAATGACTTCACTTGACAGGCACATTAGTCAAATCTGTCTCTTACCAGGGTGGATTGGCTTATCTCTTCTAGCATCTCAGAAATGGTGGGCTCTGTGGAAGAGGATGGCCTCAGATATATAAGCCTTGCTATTTAGAATAGGGCAGAAGGGCAACTGTGTTATTTTAGTGTAACTGCCACAGACCTCTCAAGGTTTGTTTATTACCACCTCCACCTTCACACTCCCCTGCCTTTGCTGGGAATTGAATCAGAGCCTCCTACATGCTAGGCAAGAGCTCTACCACTGAGCTAGATCCCCAGCTCCATATATCTTAAGTTTAGGAAGTCTTGCAAAAAACAGTAAGATTAGGGAGTCCTAGTTTCTCAAAGAATCTGAAAAAGACTGCCCTAGGGGTCCCACCTCCTCCTCTTGACAATGTCCTTACCTCATTAGATGTTAGACAGTGCCACAGGCCCCAAGGAACAGGAATGGGATGTACCTTTTACATTTCTCTGGCATCAGATCCAGAACTAGAGTTTCAAACTCCAGGCTGAAGTATATGGTATCTGAAAATAAATAGGTAGTTACTAATTTTAAGGTCAATGTATAGAACTTAACAGATTCCTGGAGTCTTCCTTTTCCAGCTCTTTAATACCCATTCTGGTACTTAATCCCCCACTTCGTACCCACACTGTATCAGTATTATTTAGTCTTGCTTGTATTCTTGTCTAATGACCTCTTAGGCATGACTCTGTCTGAGCCAAACATTTTTGTCATGTGAAAATTTGATTTAAATTAAAGAAGAATTTACAGAGTTTCTTTATTTTTGGTTGTTACTAATCTTGATTCTTAAAAAGAATAATTGAATTTGAAAGGTCTGATTTCTTAGAATCAGTCATGTTCTTTATAGAATCCATTAAAGATTCTTATCTTCACTGTGGATGAAGACTGTTTTCTCTTGTTAGAGGGAAAGCCACGTTTATGACATGGACTTCCTTCAGTCCCAGCTAAAGATCTAAGTATAAGATATGATTCTTAATCTCTACTGTAGCTGGTTCTTTTCTAATCCTTGGAAAGACAAAAAGGATGCTGGATTTATTTTATTAAGACTCCCCAAAAGGTTGATCACATTTAAGATTTTAGATATGTGAAATAATATTGTGACTGAAACAGTGTGAATAAGCAAACAATGAAAGGTAAGCCATTTACACATAATTCAGTATTATCTCTTTCTCTCAGATCCTGGAAATCATTTATACTGTTCTTGTAGTTCAAATGAGCTTCTTTATAAATCATATGAGGTGGCTGGGGAAAAAAAAGTCTTACCCTTTCAAGAAAGTTCTGTGATTCTAATATATTATAAATTCCCAGCAGCAGGTAATTTTGCATAAACCTGAAAGTTGTTTTGTGAGATTCCTTTTCCTAATAGGAAAGAGCAGTGCAATAGTTTGTAGCTTAATCATTTATGTTGTCTAATAATTTTGCTGTAAACCCTCCCCAAATCAATAGGCATATATTTAAATGAATATGAATGCTTGGGTAAATTTATAAAAGCAGTAGGAGACATGGTCTCTATTTTCAAGTAGTTTATATAGTTTTATGCAGATGTAATATTTAAAAGTTAAAACAATTAGTAAAGAATAGCCAACAACAAGTTAGAATAGGAGTCACTAAGAAGATCTGGATCCCAAGGCCTCCATCTTAGCAGGTATTATTAGCCTTTTGGTTCCTAAAATGTGATCTGTGGAGCCTTGAGAGGAAGGGTTGGGATAGGGGTGTAGAACATAGGGAAATCTTATTCTGAGCTGTAGCTGCTTTAGTTTTCAGTATTTGTTGTAGTATTTGTTGCAGTTGTCAGTATTTGGTCAAGGACTCAGCTATATCTGTACCATACCAGCTGAACATTAGCTTTGTAAGTATTAAAATAAAAAAGCAGAGTAGCTGCCCTAAAATATAAGAAAAGCAAGTGCTCTATCTTGTTTGGAAAATAAAAAAGACATGTATATTTTAAGGGTCCTTAAATGACTCTTAGAATACTTTAAAAACAATCCTCTCAACTTATCCACAGATCTGAGGATCATGGCCATTGTCTCCCACAATAAGAGGCAATAGTGAAACTATCAGACTAATATCAGACTAAGTCCTTCCTGCATACCTCAGGACTTCTCCATTTGCCAGCAGGAGTAAGGCCCATGGAGTGGCTTCACAAAACACGAAAAAAAAGATATGAAAGAAAATATGAGATTTTTAATGTTGTGGCAGTAGGTCGGCATTAATTAGGTGCCTAATATATACAGAAAACAAATACACACACAAAAAAGAAATAACCTTCTTCACCAAGTAGCCATATTGAGTAGGTTTGAACCCCAATTTTCCTTTCTCCCTGTTCTGTGATCTTGGGCAAGTTACTTAACTTTCTTGTTCCTCAGTTTCCTGAATAATTCCTACTTGATTGTTTTATAGGGATTAATACACATTAAAAGCACTTTGGAAGTACCCAACACATACTAATGCTTGCAATTATTATTAATCATGGTTATATGCATCCAGCTACATACCAATAAGACAATTCCAGAATTCACAATCAAGTAAATCATGGTTGAATACAGGTAGACCTCAACATGTGCTGGGACAGGAAACAGTAATGAAGCAGAGATAAAATATCCAGATCCAACTTTTGAGAAAAATGT